AAAAAAAAATACACAGTCTTGGCCAGGTACAGTGGCTCATGTCTATAATCCTAGCACTCTGGGAGGCCGTGGCGGGTGGACTGCCTAAGCTCATGGTTCAAGACTGCTAAGCAAGAGAAAGACCCCTGTCTCTCAAAATAGCCAGGCATTGTGGCGGACACCTGTTGTTCCAGTTCCTTTGGGAGTCTGAGGCAAGAGAATCACTTAAGCCCAAGAGTTTGAGGTTGCTGTGAGCTATGACAAAATGGCACTCCACTGAGGGCGACAAAGTCAGACCAAAAAAAAAAAAAAATGCAGTCTTCCATAAGACATCTTTCATGTTAGAGCTTTCTTGCCAGTTATCAACTCATAACCACTTTCCCTCCAGGCCAATTGGTTACTGTCAAAAACACATTTCTCCCAGCCTTCAGGGTCCCATGATACATGAAGGTGAAAAAAAAAAAAATTCAAAACATCATTATGTATCATTATGTACCCCATGAATACCTACAATTATTATTTTGTCAATGTTTTAAAAATTCAGTTTCCCTCCAGGCCAATTGGTTTCTTTCAAAAACACATTTCTCCCAGCCTAAGAGTGCCATGACACAGGAAGATACAAAAAGACAATGATTCAGGGTGGCACCTGTAGCTCAAGGAGTGGGGCACTGGCCCCATATGCCAGAGGTAGTGGGTTCAAACCCAGGCCCAGCCAAAAACTGCAAAAAAAAAAAAAAAAGATGATTCAAAACATCACTATGTAACCCACGAATATGTACAATCATTATTTGTCAATTTAAAAAAATTAAAAGGAGCAAAAAGAAGACAATGATCACCAAATCCTAACTGTGCTCGAGAGTTGTACAAATTCTGTAAATGAAGAAAAATGGAGCCACTTCTCAAATTGAACTATACCAGACTGGGGGTGGGGTATATATCTGATACTATTTGATATACTACATAGTACTATATATACACTATATACCAAACAGTATCAGAAAGTTTGATACTATTTTCTGGTATCGAATAGAAAAGAAAAGAAAATGGATAAATTCATAAACTGTATATTGCAATCAATTTATTAAGTTCTATTTTCTTGCCTACAAAACGTTATGGGGCCTAATCTTAAATCCCTAAATTAATTTGAGTTTCAACATCTCCTTTTAGTCAAACTAATTTAATAAACAAGTTATTGGATATTTTGCATTGAATTATTCAGTGCTTTGGAAGGTGCAAGAATAAACTGTGTTTGCTCTTAAATAAATTTCTTTTAGGTAGGAAAGCTACTATTTCAGTAAGTAACAAGAAGACAGGCTGAAATGTAATATGGTAACAGAATTGGAAAGTCTTCCAGGACCACAAATAAGAAAGAGATCCCCTCCCCCTCAAAGAAAATAAGGTTATATTTTATGCAGAAGACTACATTTGAAATGGAACTTGAGGCTTGGCGCCTGTAGTACAATGGTTATGAAGCCAGCCACATACATGGAGGCTGGCTGGTTCCAACCCCGCCCAGGCCTGCTAAACAACAATGACAACTGCAACAGAAAACAGCCGGGGGTTGTGGTGGGCACCTCTAGTCCCAGCTACTCCAGAGGCTGAGGCAAGAGAATCGCTTAAGCCCGAGAGTCTGAGGTTGCTGTGAGCTGTGACTCCAGAGCACTCTACTGAAGGTGACATAGTGAGACTCTGTCTCAAAAAAAAAAAAGGAAAAGAAAAGAAAGAAAGAAAGAAATGGAAGTTGACAAATGAGTAGAAATACTACAGGTGACGGTAAAAATGAAGAAATGGTAACATAAGCCAAAATGTGACAACTAGTTAAAAAAAAAAAAATGGATGTGCTGAGAACATAGAAAGTAATTCTCAACCGGCTGAAGATTCAACTTGGTAAAGGAAACCAGTGAAAGGAAAGGTAGGTTATGTCCAGAACATGTAGATAAGAGCTTTGAGTGCCATGCTAGGGCAGCTCATACCCTGTTCTCTTTCCATCACATTAAAAAGCGGTGACAAGGTGGTGAAAAGTCCGACGGCCCTGTTAGAGAAAAGATGTCAGTGATGTAACTACTTAAAATTTGGGAAATCAGTTTTGTAAAATCAAGAGTTGTTAGGAAGAGCTATACCTGTCTCTTTATAAGGCGTAACAAACTTGCTCCCTTAAATCCATACTGCAGCAGGTATACATAACTTTAAATGAAAGCAACTGAAGGTGTTGGGCCTAGACACTGGCAAGGTAAGGATATTAGTTCAAAGAGAAGCTGTTTGTGGCTCTGTGCTTTTTGCTTTCGCATCAATCTAAAGGCAGCAAGGTCCACGTATGTACCACTGACATGTCTATAACACTTAGCACAGCTGAGCTGGGGGTGAAAAAAAAGTTTTAAAATATACATTGAGGGTTTTTTTTTTTTTAACATCGGAGAGAATGGCGAGATCTATTATAATATTCATCAACAAATAGTATAATGGCAGAGTGGATGGAAGAGATTAATACTCGCAGGTGGGGCGGGGGGAGTCCAGGCCCCCTTCAATCCTCTCCTGCGCTTGCTCCCCAAACACCGAGGTGCTGGCAGTCGCCCCTCGCGCTCCGCTGCCTTCAGTCTTCCTCCGCCTTCCTCCCGTCCCTCCCCACACCAACCCCAGTCCCCGACCTTCCCCACCGAGCACCTCCCGTCCTGCCCACAGCCCCGGGCCTCGCCACCGCCTCGGTCCCCCAGCCCGCTCCCTAGTCCGCACACTCCTCCGCCCTCCCTCTCCTGTGCGCCCCACTCGGCTCCTCGGCCCGAGACTCGGCAGCAGGACTTACTGCGCCGGGACCCCGGGTCTGCCTGAGCCCGCCAGTCCCTTCTCCAGTTCCCTCGCACCCGGACCCCGCGCCCCTTCCCAGTCAGCCGACCACTGCCCGGCGGTCACCTTGATCTCCTCCACCCGCCGGCTCAGGCGGCTGATGCGGGTGCCCAGATCCTCCTTCTCCAGCCTCCCTGAGTGTGCCAAAACTTCTGTCACGAACGAAGCCATGGCCACGACAGGAACCAAAGCTGACGGACGACTCTCGGCTTCTGGTAGCCAGCGCGGCAGCAGCCGTCCCGCCGGCCTTGGCGCGCAGCCTGATGGGAGACGCAGTCCCGCCGGACCCAGACTGCCGCACGGAAGGTGAGGGCTGAACTACAACTCCCAGCGGCCATCGCGCCAGCCCCGGGCTGGGAGTTCCACGGTGTCCCGGAGTTGGCAAACTGTAGGGAGATGCGTTTTCCTCCTCAGCTATTTCAAATAGCGTGTCTCTTCCCGCCTGGTTTTTTTTTTTTTCAGTAGAAGAAATCAAATGTTTTTATCTATTTAACAGCCCAACTGTACCTTTCTCAACTTCGAACCGCTTACCTGTGATATTATCTAACGAGCCCTAACTAGCCTATCTCGATCTTTTTCATTACACATTCACTCTTATCGGGCCACAGTGGCCATCAGAATCTATGAATGGCGCCCTCTGGAGTTGTGCAACGAAGTGGTGTCCGCTCATTAATAAATAAAAGGCTGCCTATGATTGCACTCTTTTTATATTACGTCTATGTAACACATTACATGTTTATTTTACCTAGGTATAAATAACATTAGTTCTATATGGATTGGAGCAAAATACTTTGCCCTATTAGAGAAACTGATTTTAATAAAAACTTTTTAAAGGTTTGGCACCCGTGGCTCAGTGGTTACGGCGCCAGCCACATACACCAGGGCTGGCGGGTTCAAACCGGCCCGCACCTGCTAA